CACCAGGGGCCCCATTAGCCTCCCAGTTGCCTTTAAATGGCCAGATGTAATTTTAGGACTGTATAAGTGTAGCTACTCCTTAACTAGGGGCAAGGAGCTCAGTGCTGCCACCAGGTAGAAACAAGGTGCCAGTCCAGATAAAACAAGGTAGAGGGCTGGATTCAGCCTGCATGCCTTGTGTTTGCCACCTGTGCTCTATACAGTAACGGTTTTGTAGATTCTTTTATGCATTTGAAAGTAAGGTGAAAAGTAAGGATGATTTCATGGAGCTGAGAGAAGCAAGACAGAGATTTGATTATAAGATAGTTAGCAAGATTATTTTCTCTCTTGAGAGTGGTAATAGCTTACTTAAAAAGAGTATTAACCTAGATGTACATAAACAATGGACAGAGCTTACACAAGACAGATATAAACCTTTTACTAAAATGTTATATATTTGGGGTATGACAACCCGCCATCATTTGCCCACTTAGAAATTTATGATCAGATAATCTTGTCAGATTAGTCTTTATAGAGCTTACCCTTTTTTGTCTACATGTTCTATGTATTTGAAATAAATACTTTTAAATATGTAAACAGATGTCCACACAAAGGTGATTTTCACAATTTTTCTTGAAATAGTGAAAAATTTAAACAACTTACATAAGCAGCAAAAGAAGACTAGTTAAAGAAATTATGAGGCTTCTATATAGTGGTATCCCATGTAGCCATGGGAAGCGTTATTTCTGTCTCTTTTTATGAATATACAAAACTGTATACCCATAAATATATTATTAAATGAAAAACCAGTGTATATAGTACAGTTTTCAAACCATTCCAAAATGTTTGCTTGGATTTGTTCGGATAGGAAAAAGTCTGGTACAGATAGTGTCTTCTCCTTGTAAATTAGGATTAAGAATACTTTTAAAAATTAATTTTGCTTTTTTAACATATATTTTATTGATTATGCCATTAGAGTTGTCCCATTTCTCCCCCTTCATTCCCCTCCACCCTGCACACCCCCTCCCACCCACTTCCCCCCTTTAGTTTATGTCCATGTGTCATAAGTTTTTTAGCTTTTGCATTTTTTCACACTACTCTTGCCCTCCCCCTATTTTATCCCCACCATCTATGCTACTTATTTTCTGTACCTTCTCCCCCCCTCCTCCCACTCACTGTTTGGAAGGTTACTTCCATGTGATCTCCATTTCTGTGGCTCCACTCCTGTTTTAGGTGTCCACTTAGTTTGCTTTTGTTTTAGGTGTGGTTGTTAATAACTGTGAGTTTGCTGTCCACTCACTGTTCATATTTTTTATCTTCTTTTTCTTAGATAAGTCCCTTTAACATTTCATATAGTAAAGGCTTGGTGATGATGAGCTCCTTAAACTTGACCTTATCTGAGAAGCACTTTATCTGCTTTTCCATTCCAAATGAAAGCTTTGCTGCATAGAGCAATCTTGGATGTAGGTCCTTGCATTTCATGATTTGGAATACTTCTTTTCGGCCCCTTCTTGCCTGTAAGGTCTCTTTTGAGAAATCCGCTGACAGTCTGATGGGAACTCCTTTGTAGGTGGCTGTCCCCTTGTCTCTTGCTGCTTCTAGAATTCTCTCCTTCATTTTAATGTTGGTTAATGTAATTATGATGTGCCTTGGTGTGTTCCTCTTTGGGTCCACCTTCTTTGGGACTCTCTGAGCTTCCTGGACTTTCCAAAAGTCTATTGCCTTTTCCAGATTGGGGAAGTTCTCCTTTATTATTTGTTCAAATAAGTTTTCCACTTGTTGCTCTTCCTCTTTCCCTTCTGGCACCCCTATAATTCGGATGTTGGAACATTTAAAGATGCCCTGGAGGTTCCTAAGCCTCTCCTCATTTTTTTTTGAATTCTCATTTCTTCACTCTTTTCTGTTTGGTTGTTTCTTTCTTCCTTCTGGTGCACTCCATGGATTTGGGTTCTACTTTTCTTCCCATCACTATTGGTTCCCTGTGCATTTTCCTTCATTTCACTTAGTGCAGCCTTCATTTTTTCATCTAATTAGCAACCAAAATAAACCAGTTCTGTGAGCATCCTGATCACCAGTGTTTTGAACTGTGCATCTGATAGGTTGGCTATCTCTTGGTCGCTTAAAAGTATTGGCTCTGGGACTTTGATTTGTTCTTCTGATTGAGCCATTTTTAGTTTTGTTGCACCTGTTACATATAAATGGCGGAGCCTTAGGTGTTCACCAGGGCGGGGGAACCCACGTAGCTGGGTTATAATGCTGAATGTGGGGGCAGGGTCAGAGAGGGAGCAATGGCACTTGTTCTGTGCTCTCTTGGATTTCAGTCCCCTCTGCTGCTTCCCAGAAGCCGACACCCTTTCAATTGGTGCTTTGGGGCTTTATTTCCCATTGTTAGGGCCCTGGGTTGCACCGTCTGTCTTGCTGCTCATTTTTGCTTAGGTGTTCACCAGGGCAGGGCAACCCAGTCGCTGGGTTGTGACGCGGTCTGGATGAATGATTTGTTGTTGTTGAACTTTGGTACAGTTCACTTTTCTGTATGTCTGGTTGTGTTTTTGTTTCTAAATCTTTGTTGTCCTTAAATTTGGTTATGCGAGGAGGTATAGTGTTTTCACCTATGCCTCCATCTTGGCTGGAAGTCTGCTCTTTTACATTTTCAAATTTTTCGATAATGAATGTGAATTTTCACTAAAATTTTAAAATAGTATTTCTTACAAAAACTAAAGAAAGGTCAGCCAGGATAAAGAGCTAAAGGAGAAGCTGTTGGTTATTAGTATAACATGCCCATTTTCAAAACATAGGAGAACCTCTAAAATGAAATGCCAAGCAATAGAATTTGTTCTTGAAATGGAACTTATCTTAAATGGCTAAGGAACAGAGATGACGTGTCACTGATTTCTTTAAAAAAACAAACTGAACCATTGTGTTTTCCCTAAAAAATATTATATTGGCGACTGTTCTAACTTATCCACAGGAAACTAAAAACAAAGTGCCATTATTTCTATGGATATTCATATTTAGATCTCATTTGTTCTTAGATGGCATATTCCTCTGACTGACTCATGCCACCATCAGGTAGCCTATTCGCTGGGCAGCTCTAGAATTTGCAGCAAGACAGACAGTGCAACCCAGGGCCCTAGCAATGGGAAATAAAACCCCAAAGCACCAATTGAAAGGGTGCCGGCTTCTGGGAAGCAGCAGAGGGGACTGAAATCCAAGAGAGCACAGAACAAGTGCCATTGCTCCCTCTCTGACCCTGCCCCCACATTCAGCATTATAACCCAGCTACGTGGGTTCCCCCACCCTGGTGAACACCTAAGGCTCCGCCATTCATATGTAACAGGTGCAACAAAACTAAAAATGGCTCAATCAGAAGAACAAATCAAAGTCCCAGAGCCAATACTTTTAAGCGACCAAGAGATAGCCAACCTATCAGATGCACAGCTCAAAACACTGGTGATCAGGATGCTCACAGAACTGGTTTATTTTGGTTGCTAATTAGATGAAAAAATGAAGGCTGCACTAAGTGAAATGAAGGAAAATGCACAGGGAACCAATAGTGATGGGAAGAAAAGTAGAACCCAAATCCATGGAGTGCACCAGAAGGAAGAAGGAAACAACCAAACAGAAAAGAGTGAAGAAATGAGAATTCAAAAAAAAAAATGAGGAGAGGCTTAGGAACCTCCAGGGCATCTTTAAATGTTCCAACATCCGAATTATAGGGGTGCCAGAAGGGAAAGAGGAAGAGCAACAAGTGGAAAACTTATTTGAACAAATAATAAAGGAGAACTTCCCCCAATCTGGAAAAGGCAATAGACTTTTGGAAAGTCCAGGAAGCTCAGAGAGTCCCAAAGAAGGTGGACCCAAAGAGGAACACACCAAGGCACATCATAATTACATTAACCAACATTAAAATGAAGGAGAGAATTCTAGAAGCAGCAAGAGACAAGGGGACAGCCACCTACAAAGGAGTTCCCATCAGACTGTCAGCGGATTTCTCAAAAGAGACCTTACAGGCAAGAAGGGGCCGAAAAGAAGTATTCCAAATCATGAAATGCAAGGACCTACATCCAAGATTGCTCTATGCAGCAAAGCTTTCATTTGGAATGGAAAAGCAGATAAAGTGCTTCTCAGATAAGGTCAAGTTTAAGGAGCTCATCATCACCAAGCCTTTACTATATGAAATGTTAAAGGGACTTATCTAAGAAAAAGAAGATAAAAAATATGAACAGTGAGTGGACAGCAAACTCACAGTTATTAACAACCACACCTAAAACAAAAGCAAACTAAGTGGACACCTAAAACAGGAGTGGAGCCACAGAAATGGAGATCACATGGAAGTAACCTTCCAAACAGTGAGTGGGAGGAGGGGGGGAGAAGGTACAGAAAATAAGTAGCATAGATGGTGGGGATAAAATAGGAGGAGGGCAAGAGTAGTGTGAAAAAATGCAAAAGCTAAAGAACTTATGACACATGGATATGAACTAAAGGGGGGGATATGGGTCGGAGAGGTGTGCAGGGTGGAAGGGAATGAAGAGGGGAGAAATGGGACTACTGTAATGGCATAATGAATAAAATATATTGTAGAAATAAAAAAGAGAGAAACATCAATGGGTTGCCTGTCATATATGCCCCCATCAGGGGCAGAATCCATACCCAGGTGTGTGCCCTGGTCAGGAATCAAACAAGCAACCTTTCACTTTGCAGGATAATTCTAAACCAACTGAACCACACCAGTCAGGGGTGGTGATGCTGTTTATGTATTAATTACTCTGGAGCATGACAAAAAGCTTGAAATTTGAAGAATTTGAGGTTTTGTATTTGGCTACCACTGCCCATTATACTCTAGAACATTGTCACTTGAATTTCATAACCTGCATTTGCTGCCCACCTTTTGCTTTGAAATAATCATCCTCTTTACCTGGCTATCTTCTGACTGAGCCTAACTTTTTAAGAAGATTTTATTTACCTTTTCCTGCTTGTCACCGCCGCGATCGCACGCGTGAGGCCTCTTCGCCGAGGCCGAGATGCGCTACATTGCCTCCTATCTCCTGGCCGCCCTCAGGGGCAATTCCTCCCCCAGCACTAAGGACATCAAGAAGATCCTGGACAGCGTGGGTATCCAGGCAGACGACGACTGGCTCAACAAGGTCATCAGTGAGCTGAACAGAAAGAACATCGAAGACGTCATCGCCCAAGGTATTGGCAAGCTGGCCTGTGTCCCCACTGGTGCCGCTGTAGCTGTCTCTGCTGCCCCAGGGTCTGCAGCTCCTGCTGCCGGCTCTGCCCCAGCTGCAGCAGAGGAGAAGAAGGACGAGAAGAAGGAGGAGTCAGAGGAATCGGATGATGACATGGGCTTTGGCTTGTTCGATTAGAGTCCTGTCCCCACAAATGAAACCCTTTTTATGTATCTCTTAAAAAATGATTTTATTTATTTAACTTTAGAGGGGAAGGGAAGGAGAGAGGGAGAGAAATATCAATGTATGGTTGCCTCTCATGTGTCCCCTGCTGGGAACTGGCCTGCAACCCAGGCATGCGCCCTGACTGGGAATCGAACCTCAATCCTTTGGTTCGCAGGCCCACACTCAATCCACTGAAGTACACCAGCCAGGGCGGTGTACTTTTAAATGTATTTTAAAAAATACATTCCCAATGCCATTGTTCTCTTTTATGGAGATGACTAAAAGCCTACATGAAATTCCTATCAAATGCTCCTGCAGTCAGGAAGCTATACTTGAAGTTAAGGCAGTTTTTTCTCCCACCTACTCATGTGCAGAAGATCATTCACTTTATAAAACAAAATACATGTATATTTACTATTTTATACTTTTCTAGAATAGTCACTCTTTAAAAACATAATTTAATGTTGATCATTCTTAACACGTAGTATGTGTGACTAACAGAAACAAGTAGGTTTATTAAGTGGATAGTTTTAAAAAACTAAAGATATGATAGGATCAAGAAGTACAAGAACAATTAATCTTAACAAAATATGTCCTAGACTCAATTTCTAAGCAATTGCCCTATAGTCTATAATTATGAGTAAAATACCCTTTGAAAAGAACTCATTATAATCTAAGAGAAATGAGAACAATAGTATAGGTATTACAAAAGATTGGTTCTTCTCAGATAATTGTTTTTAATAAAATGGTAAAAGTGTAGAAAACACAGGCAACTATAATTAGGATAATAATCTATTGTTCTACAGGACTATGTATTCTGTTGTGTCTTCTATTGGAAAGCAACAATGAAAATGATGTAAAGTATGGGTGGAGACTTTGAAGAGTAGTTAGACATCAAAATGTAGAGGTCATTCATTAATCTCTCCTTTATGGCAGAATCAAGCAAATAACGAAAGTGGATGTTGTGCTGTATGGATGCCCTGAGAGCACTCCACTTTTAGTGAGAAACCCAGAGACACACAGCACGGCTTTTATATATGACTGTATACGTCTTCTATTTATTTGCTTAGGTACTGTTGTATTTAGACAAAAAGCATCTCATCTACCCTGTTGAATTCTATTCTCTGTCAATCATGAGTATGCTATCATTGGTCTCTTCAGTGTGGAGAAATTCCAGAAGGATCTTAATTTGATCTAAAATTTACAGAGATGTTGTTCAAGACAAGAGACTTAAAAAGATAGAATACAACTTAATGAAAAGATCTGTTTTATATATTCATTTTTTAGGTTTAAAAATAAGGGAGAAAATCAAACCATCTATTTTGTTTGGGGCTGGGGAAGGAAGAAACACATTTGTCCAGTTCTCAGCCCTGGGCTGTTCTAGGTCAGAAGACAGCTAGACCTTTCCCTAGTACTTATAAAAAATGTGCCCCTGCTTATCCCCCAGAGAGAGATAAGCAAGGGAACATCCCACTACATGCTGAACAGAAAGGCCTGACATGGAAACTGGGCCAAGTGAGATTCAGGAAAAGGTCCTTGCCTTTTGGGCTACCTTCCATTTCTTCTAACCTGAAGCTGTGGACCCTAAACAGTTAAGTCTCAACAATCCTTATTTAAGCATAAATTTAACAGTATAGTTCAGTAGTTAATGACCCAGGCTCTGGAGTAGGATTTCATAAGTTCAAGTCCTCTGCCCTCTATAGCTGTGGGGGTTGGCAAGTTCTTTAACTTCTCTGAGCCTAACCTATTCATCTGTAAAATGGGAGTGACAGTAGTTCCTACCTCAAAGGGCCCTGATAAGAATTAAATAATTAAGTGCAGGTAAAGTTCTTATCCTAGGACATTATGTATACTTAAATATTAGCTATTTTTATAATTATCATCAACTAGTGGAAACATTCATCTCCTTTTTTGTCAGTCTAGTAGGAGTTTTGGGACTGCATTAGACAAAAACTAAGTGATCACCTCCCTCTAGAAAAGAAATTTACACTTTTGAAGTAAACCCAATGACCTAGATTGTCTTCTCTAAACAATTATTGGTTTTCCACAACAGCAGAATCTTCTCTACCCTTTCCATTAGGTGACTCTTGCTACCCAACACACACACATATACAAACAAAACATACCCCACCAAGTACACACATACATTCACCTAGTGGGACAGGTACACTGATTCTAACTCGGCTTGCTATGAGGACCCTGAGCTGAGAGAACAGGTGTGTATGTGTGTTCTCTGGAGTATTTCTTTGCTAAAATCAGATATATGAATCTTTGCTCTAGGAGAGCCCTTTGAGCTTCTTGATCCCTTGTTATGGTTCATTCCTCTCCATAGTTTACCTACCCAATGTCATTTCATCTTCTGCTTTGACCACCCCCAGAGTGAGCTCACTATGCCCTGATTCTACCACACTTATCTTCAGCAAATTCTTTCTACTTATAATTTTTTTTCTTATTTTGGTCTGAAGTCTGCTTCCTTGTAGCTTCATCTAGTTCTTAGGTCAGCCCCCTCAGGGGTACTAACAGAAGAGAGTAAAATAAATGTATTTATATCATGAAGGTCAAAAAGAAAGGTCTTACTCTTTCCAAAGAGAGAGATATTGTATATTTGCATCTCTACTTACAGATTTGTTTGGTTTTTTGGGGGGTTTTTTGTGGTTTTTTTTTTTAGATTACTGGTTTCTTGGATTCCCATGGGTGTATCTTGGACCTGAAACAGAGCTGTCATAGACAGTTCATCTGACTGTCTTCCACCTTCAGGAGCAATTGTTTACCTTTCTTTTCCCTGATGACTGTAGGCCCAGCCTGTGGACAGGCTGGGCCTACACCTCATCTGACATGACACTTTTTAATTGTAATTTTCAATTACAGTTGATATTCAATCTTATTTTATAATAGCTATAGGACTTAACTTACTCTTCAGTATGAGTTTTAAGACCACTACAACCTAGTTCTGCCTTACCTTTCCAGCTGCACTTGTCTCCTCTCCTGCCACACTAGGTGCTCCAGTATCTCCCATACCTGCCTCCTACCTTTCAACATACTCAGTCTGCCTTTCATATCTTCCTTCTTATCCATAAAAACTCATCATATCCTTCTAGTGTAGTACAGATGCTATCCCCTTCTGAAGTCCCCTTCCCTCTTCCACTCTTGCAAGCCTAAGATTAGAATGAATCACTCTGCCCCTAGGTTCTCATAATCATAGTATCTACTTGCTACATCCACAGCACTCATTTCATTTAGCTACCTATTAGTGTTAGCTGCAGGTTTGTGCCCCACTCCAGGCCATGAGCTCCTTGAAAATGAGAAATGAACTGTTTGCCGTTATGAGCCGAACTCTTCATCTTTTGTCTTGCACAAAATAGGAGCTCATTAAATTCTTGACAAATGAGTGAACAAAAGTCTATAGCACTTTACACTTTATAAACTCTTTCATTTGAGTCTCACAATAATCCCATGAGGAAGGAGTTATAAAGATTCCCATGTTATAGTTAAGGAAACCAAGGCATAGATTGGTTAAGTAACTTGCCCAAGTGTCACATAGCTAATTGGGTGTAGAGTGATATTTCCTGATCCCAGTTAGTGACTGTGTCCTTGTCAACCTCACCACATGGATTTCTTGAGTAAGTAAGTAAGTGGATGTCAAATATTAAGCATCTGAAGTGTGCTGAGAATGGAGAGATGAGGGTCCCAATAGTAAATAAGAATGAAGGAGCATTTTTGCTGAAATTAGTAGGAGTGGAATATTTTATAGAGCGAAAAAAAATTCTGACCTGAGAATGGAAGTAAGAAGATAAAAGGATCAGAAAAAGCTTAGCAGTTGAGTTAGTGGCAACCAGAGGGACATACCTACTAGTTGTCAAAATCAGGAAAGCTAGGGAGAGCTTTGTCAAGCTGAAAATATGTTCAGAGACTGTGATGAAGCCAACATTCTTTGATTGCCTAAAATTGGCTGTGCAGAAATGGATGGCAATGGATACGTTTGCTGCCAGAGAGAGAATATACTTTCAATTTAATGAGGACAACTCTAGAAGCCCTGCTGATTCCTGATTGATAAGTACTAAGGCGCCTCACTTTACTTGCAGGCACAGCTGTCTGCACTGAGAACTGGTGGGTACTGGGCAGAAGCTCAGCCCACAGGGAAACACTCCCTGCATTTTTTCCTGTTGGCAATTTCACCTCCTGGAAGACAGATAGGAGAAGGAGCCAGTGCACAGCCCAGCAACCCCCCAAAAGGTTATTTTGTCCAAGGCAAATGTTGCCTATTGAATTCTCACCACCCTGATTAGAAAGGATTATTCTGAAGGTCTGTGAAGTATCTAGTTAACCAGTCTTCCTGAGTTATTTTGAATAGCTATTGAATGGATAATTTCCATACCCATTATCAAAATGATATGCTGGAGGTGAAATTTAGCTGTATTGTATTTGATCAGTAATTGCAGAAATGTTTCCCTTGGATTTAATGCCTTATTGCCAGCAGGTCTCCCTATAGGTGCAAAAGACTTTGGGATACTTTTTGGTTGACACAAATGCTTTATTATTGTAATTTTTTTGTTGCAGTGGGGGTGGGAAGAACAAGATTTATTTGGGCATCTGAATTGAAAGGTTTTTTTTTTTTTACCTCCCAAGAGCAGTATTTGGCAACATGAGATTTTCCACTAGAAACAGCAAATGAATAATCTCTCCTCGTCTCCCAGGCCACAGTGCTCTGAAACAAGAACAGACCCTGAGGTTCCTGGTGGACAGCAAATTCAGTGACAACAGTCAGTTATGCAGGTACCTGTTACTAGAAATAAATGAAACAGGAAATGAAGATTGAGATATTTGACTATGAAAAGGGAACTTGAGTCCTAAGGTTCACATTATATGCCTTTGCATTGCAATATTCTACATCAGCTGCTGCCAATAGAAATATAATGCAAGCCACATATGCACTTTTAATTTTTCCAGTACCCCCATTAAAAAGTCACAGGAAAGTAGGTGAAACTAATTTAATAATATATTTTATTTAACCAAAT